CGTTATCGACGGTACTAAGATTAAGGGTTACGATAACTTAACCGTCGCCGAGGTTGCTAAGGCGTACCGCAATCTAACCGCCCTTCTAGGTTCGAACACCTTCGTACCGTTCCCCTTCCCTACCGCTATCTTAGTCGAAGGCCTTAGTTGTATCTCCGACGCCCTAGTTAGTAGGATTCCTTAGTTAAGTTACGTTATTTAGAACGAAGTTAAACAGATCCTCTAGCTTAATAACGAGGGACTTAAGGAATATCTATACGATTAGGAGAATGCTACGAAGGAAAAGGCTACTAACCTCCTCGTTAATTAAGCTTTCTACGAGGGATAGTACTTCGGTGCTAATAGCTTTAACGTATACAGAGGAGATTTCGAGAACCGACTAGCAGATAAGGTTATTGCTAGTAAGGATTACGGCGCGTTAAAGCAATAGTAGGTCTATATAGTATTACTTAGGAAGTTGTTTTTATATAATTATAGTATCTAGGATTAATGCTACCCCGGAGGTATTATTACGGAGTTCTAAAAATAGCCTTAGCTAAGAACGCTAAGGATACATATATGTTTGTTTTAAGCGCGCAATATAAAGCGTATCTAGTTAGATACGAAGAAAGGGAGGGATATTAGCTAGTAACCGGGCCTACACCTATAGGCTAGTTTTAAGCCTATATAAGAGGCCTCCTTCTGCATTGTAGATAGATTATTAACCTCGTATAGCACATTGTTTATATTATACTTCTACAATGCCTATATTGCAGGGCTCTAGTTATTAGCCTAAGCGACAGTCTCGTTATCCTATCTTGCTAAACATAGCTGCCTATATTGCTATAGGTTATGTTACCCTCGGTAGCCTATACTATTGCTACAAGTAGTAGTAGTAGTGTTGGTTTCCGTCCTTTAACAGTCTTAACCGGCGCTTAGTCTATATATTTAACCGCGATCTACCTTCTTTTAGGCGTAGTAGGTACCGTTATAGCTTCTTTACCTTCTTCTATATTAAAATCCTCTACATCCGCCGCCTACGATACTGTCTCTAGATATACCGGACTATCGTTTAGCGAGCTAATGTCTTAGACGCTTAAAGGCGAGTTATAGGCGTCCTCGCCTAATACCTCTAATCGGCTGTTACTAACACTACTAGCTCTAGTAGGATCTAGTTTTCTAAATAGCCCCTAGCTATATACGCATCTCTCTTTAATAATTAGCGACTAGAGGATAGTACTCCCGGTAGGACCCGTATAGAGCAATCTACTTAACGCCTAAGGAATCTAGTAGCTATCCTACTAGTCTTCTAACTTTAGGCGCTCTATAGGGTGCCTATAGCCTTTCCGCGTCGAGAAATTGCGAGATCGATACTACGTAAGATTAGATTACGCCGGTAAACGTAGAGCTTTCTTAGGATCGGTTAAAAAGGCGCCTATCTACCGAGTACTCTCGCTCTCTCTCTCCCCTCTATACGAACTACCCTATACGAACCTACTATTCGTACTTAGTCCTCCTCTATAATCTCGGCCGGCGAGTATCCTACTACTCTCGTAAACTATATACCCTAGATTTGATTAACTAGTTAGGGATAATTTGTCTAAACTAGATCTCGAGGGCTCGTATAGGAGTAGCATTCTAAGTAACCTTTATTTAATCTATATACTCCGCTAATACTACCTTAGGATCTAGGAATCTTCTAATCTACGGATTCTAATAATCTAACTAGCTCCGTTAAAGGAACTTCCTAGTATTAATTTCCGAATTATTACGATTCGTAAGCAAGTACTAATCGTATAGGCCCTCCTAACTAGGGTCTCCGCTATCGATTCTTCGCGATTCGTCCTCCCTAGATCTTAGACTTCTTTCGTAATATCGAACATCTAGCTATTCTATCTATAAACAACTTAGGACTAGTAAGCATTAGAGGTAGGTAGGCTAATAGCCGCGGTCCCTCCTAACCGAGATCCCTAATATCGACTCTTTACAATTCGTATACCTTATACCGCTCTAGGATCCTAATTTCCGAGGCGTACCTTAACGCTTATATTATCGACGATCTCTACGAGAAAACAACGGCTCGCTCTTAGAATTGTCCCTATCTCCGAGAGGTAGTATATAAGGACGCCTCGATATCGTCGGTCTACTAATAGTACGTCGTAATTACCTCGCTTTTCGTACGAAAGGCCGCGATTCTTCGAACTCTATAGTACGGCGTACTCGCTTAGCTCTTCCTTACGTAAAATGTCTTCTCTATCTACTCTATCTTCTTCTAAATCTAAGCGCCCGATACTTACGCTACCGGATATAGAGAGCGCAAAGAAAGGTAAGAAGCGAGCGATACCTAGCTCTTTCGTACTGCCCGACTTTACGATTAACCTAATATCGGACGATAGTCTATCTAAGTTGCAGCGTTCGCGACGATAGCCGAAGCCGAAGCGGAGATCTAGTTCCTTATTACTAGTTAAAATGTCGATAGAGATAAACGTCGTATAAGACGATAATCCGTTCTAAACGATATTATATAGAGATAAAGAGACGAGGCACAAAGCGGGTATCTCCTAATCTTCCGCTAGGCTATCGTTTCCGTATAACCGTATTCCCGTTACCGGTCCCGCTCCTAGACTAGTAGTCGAACTACGTTAATATAAATTCTATTAAATCGTTAAACTAGTATCTAACTTCTAGAGGAAGAACGGACGATTCTATAGGGTCTATACTCTAGTAGTATATTAGCGCGTAGGTTAGCATTCGAGCGATAACATTCCCTAACTTTAATAGAAAGCCTAACTTTCTACCTATAGCAACTACGATTCTAATGCTATATATCTATAGTTAGCGTACGACGACGTATCTACCGGACTATTACCTAGGTTACATCGAGCAAGTCCTATCGTTAACGATACGTTAGAGGCGTTAGGGACGACGCGCGACCTCCCTAGCGTATTATCGCTATATACGTAAGGTATTTTATCTAAAACGCTATCCGATCGTTCCCCCTTTCTTATATCTTTATCTGCTAAGCGTCCCTATACTCCGCCTACGTACGAGTTATACACTATCGACCCGTTACGTCTAATACTATCTCCTTTATCGCATTCGGCGTAGAGTTTATCTACTATTACAATTCCGAGCGTTAGTCGCAGGTCCGATTCTATATCTATATTAGCAAGCGGCGCTTCTAGCATCTATACTCTACTAAGTCCGACAGGTCGCGACTATAACTAGGACGATTAGTCTGTCTTGCCTAGAGATAGCGTTATATAGGACGCCGAGAGGCAAGGTCCGACGCTACCGGATATAGAGGCCTCTAATAAATACGGTCTAGACGCTTTCGATAATTACTACGACTTTAGCGACCTTCTCGATCCTTCTAGACCGATAGACGTTGAATTTACGGAGCCTTCCTATAACGCTAACTCTACGAGTTTAATTAAGAATAGTAGCTCTATCGCGCCTAGAGCTCCGTCGCTAGGGCCTATCTAACCGCTACTTCTACCGAGCCTTCCTTTTACGCCTAGAGCTATACCGACGGACACTACTACTGCCCCTACTAGTAGGGCTAGAGCTAGCGGTTCTAGTCCTTAGGTGCGAGCTAGTTAGCCTTCTCTAAGGCGGATATCTTTTAAACGTCTAAACGATTATAATACCCTCTCTACGGCGGTCGCCGAAGCGTACTATAGCCTAGGTCGATCGTAGGCTACTAATACCGACCTCTTACGCCTAGAGAGGTCTACTCTTCCTAAGGCGTATATCTCGATGCTATACGAGGCAGTAATACTTAATATTAGCGATATAGTATATACCTGCTAATACTATTAAGCTAAGTATTAGATCCGTAAAGCATCGAACGTCCGAGCAGATAGCAAACCGTCTTCTTCTACGGACAAGAACGGTATAGTATTTATAATATATTGCGGTAGTAGCGTAGTAAAAGGTATATTTCTAATCCCTAAACTACCTCCGTTACTACGGCGACTGCTTACTATAGATCTATCTAAGGATATAGAAGCAAGAACGTTCTAGGAGAACATTCGAGCCTATAATTGCCGCCTCGTAATAACTTTATTTATAGCTAAGCGTAATATACGGGTATTAGGATACAGTTTGTTCTAGATCTACGGGGAAGCGTATTATTTAGGCGGCGGTCTCTTCGCTCCGACGGAAGATCCCTAATACGCGTAGCTATACTTTTACGACCCCGTATATACTACTAAGAGGCGTATATAGAAATCCGGCGATCGTAGATATACTAGCCGGAACTAGAAATCTATACTATCGCCGCAGCTAGACTACGGCACTATAATCGCGTTATATAAGATAATTACGTAATATAACGCGCTATATTACAAGTTCGCCGCGGCTCGGGAAATGTTTATATCCTCCTAAGGACCTAGGCGCCTCGTTCTTAAGGCTATAGACTTTAGTTTAGTCTACGAAGGTATATAGGACGCGCGTCGATATAATAAGCCGGTCGTAAACGAAGTAGCCGCCCTCTATCCGGATTACGATCCGGAAGCTATTAGCGGAATAAGGGATTTTGTAGTAGTAGAGCGGTTAAGTACGGGAGAGGTATCTACTACTCTATATCGTATAAATCGCTACTATCTATACTACTTCCCTATATATTACGTCCTCCTCTAGGCGGCTAGAACTCCTAGGTTTTCGTAGGAGAACTAGTTTCGTACGCGTAGTAGGAGGTACGTTACGCTTAGGGATTACTTTAGGCATATTTTACACTATCGACTAAACTAATTTCCTACTATCTTCTATAGTCGCCGGCTCCTACAACAATTATACGTCGACGTATATACTATAGTAGACTTAAACGACCTACTTTTCCTAGGCAACTATTAGAAAGAAGTATAGGCGGATACATACAACTTAAAACAACCGAAATAGCGTAGTACGCGCGCACTATTAGGCAATAAGAATAAATACGATATCTAACGAGAGTTGTCTCGATAGATTAGCGAAGACCTACGTTATAATATTCTTCGAACTAAGGTATAGTATAGGGAATGCGAGGGAAGCGTACGTTACGGTTTGCTATAGCGGAACTGTTTAGTCGTCCCTACGAACGGGGCTCTATTATCCGATAGCATCCTATAAGCTCTATAAATAGTTCTCCCGTCCTCGTACGTCGGCGGCGATCGGTAGATTTTATAGTGCTACCGAGATTCTATAGCTATCGTCGGCTACTTCGGCGTCCCTACGTACTTTATTACGTTTATAGCTAACCCTAACTAGCCGGAGATTAAGCGTTATTTGTTCGACTATTAGGACGCGATAGACCGCCTAGACATTACGATAAGGGTCTTTATTTAGAAAGCTAGGGAGTTTTTATACGAGGTCTACTATAGGAATGTATTCGGTCGCTATATCGCAAGATATTAGACGGTCGAATACTAGAAGCGTAGCCTCCCTTACCTTTACCTCTTACTATAGATCGCGCCCGATTAAGCGCTAGATACTATATCTAAGATCGATAACTTTATCCGCGCTAAGCTTCTAAGCCTAGCCGAGGACCCGGATAGTAGCGTAACGAACTTAGTTAAGGAACATATATATTATAGACCTTATAGCGCGGGCTTTCTATACGTCCCGTATATACAGTTACCTCGATACTCCGAAGGGACGTATTCTAAGGGATTCCCTATAGAGTTCTCGGACGAGATAGTAGTAACTAACATCGCGTTTCCGAAATATCGTAAACGCCGTAATAGGAGGATATAGAATAAAAGGAGGAATCGCGCGTTCCTCTTCGACAATCGTTATATCGTACTATACAATCTATACCTACTAAAGCGGTTTAACGCCTATATTAATATCGAGTAGGTCCGCTTATTACGGGCGATTAAATATATTAATAAGTACGTCTATAAGGGCGCCGACCGTACGACTACCCGCCTCGAGATTCCCGGTAACGAGATCGCTAACTATGTTAATATACGATATATTAGTCCTACGATAGCGATATACAACATCTTAGAAGGCAAGCGCTATAAAGAATAGCCCGCGGTTATTCGACTAGACGTCTACCTACCGCGCCCTAGGGGTAATATCGTATTTAACTATAACGCAACGATAGCGGACCTACGCGGCGATAGACGACAACGTACTACGCTCGTCGCATAGTTTCGATATAACGCGTTACTACTAGATAACGACGTATCTTACCGGCGCTTAACGTATCTTAAGTTTCTAAAATACTATACGCTATATAACAAAGCGTAGAAGAAACGTTCTAAGCGCGTAGTATACTCTATCGCGCGTCTTAACCCGCCCCTACGTCCTAAAGGCGAGATACTATACTTAATTAAATTGCTCTATATCGTTCGGGGTACTAAATGTTTCCGCGACTTAAGGATATATAGCGGTACCGTATATAAGAGCTTTCGAGCGGCGGCGATTGCATCTAGTCTTACAAGATCGGAAGATAAATAGCTCGATACGTTCCGGAAGGCTAAGAAGATATATACCTCCCGACAATTGCGTCTTATATTCGTACTACTTATCCTAACAGATGCGATATCCGGAGCCGACTCTACGCGATAGTAGAGTCTTCTATAGAGGGACATATATAAAGATCTATATATCGAACTGCGGTACGGAGGCTATATAGGAAGGTATAAGGAGATAAATGCTACTACTAAAAGTTATAGTAAGTATTAGCTATATACCGAATTAGTTGCTAACGGATATAAGGTATCGGGCTATAAACTACCGAGCCCCGATCCTTCGTAGGCGAAAATATATAGTAGCAATAACGCTATCGCTTAAGAAGAAGCGCTAGTCGATATAGGAAACGAAGATAGGAACAAACTCTACGTATAATAAAACGCCTACCTTCTTAATAACGGTTAAAGGCGAGCCTTTACCGATATTACGAACGATATCGACTAGAATCTATTAACGGCGTACTTTTTTATCTAAGGTCCGGGAGGCTACGGGAAGACGTTCCTATACCGTATACTCGTAGCGACCTATAGAGTACGTAGCCTTATCGTACTATATATCGCGTCTTTAGGTATCGCCGCATAGCTGCTTCCTAGTAGTCGTATAGCGCACTCCCGATTTAAACTTCCTTTAAGTAATACCGGGTAGTAGGACTGTCCTATTACTTAAGACATAATAGACGCTAAGCTAATCCGAAAGACTTATCTAGTTATTTAGGACGAAGCCGCGATATAGAATAGACGCGATATTATAGCTATATATCGACTCTTTTACAAGTTACAATTAGGTAGTAACGGCTAGGGCAACGAACTATTCTTCGTAGGAGTCCTCGTCGTATTCGGCGGCGACTAGGTATAGACTCTTCTAGTGCTTCCCGAGTATAAGAAGTCTTCGAAGGAAGCAGACGTAATAGCGATTATATTTAAAGCCTTCCTAATCTAGAATAAGATTAAGGTACTCTATCTCTAGTAAAATATACAGCTCGTAGATAGCAATCTGTAGAACGTCGACTTCTACCGCTAGACTCTCTATATTATATACGACGACGTATTCGATCGATTTATTAAGCTACTAATATACGTCGGAAGAGTCTAGGACCTTAGCGAGCTTATCGATTTCGTCTTTCTAAGATAGGGTATTATTAAGGCTAAGTACGACCTAGTATTCTATCGTTCTCGAGCTATCCTTTATATAACGAACGATACCGCCTACGAGATTAACGAACGTATCGTAGACGACCTACCGTACGGTGCAATTCGCGAATATCGCTACGAGGATAAGATAGAGAAGTTGCCTAGCGATAAAGACTAGCCTTTAGAAATCTTAAGCCTTTTAAAATCTATCTAGAACACCGAGCTCTAGATTCCTTGCCTACGGATCCGGATAGGTACACTAATAATAATTATACGGAATATCTATAAGACCGTAGGACTCGTAAACGGAACGCGGGTTATCGTCGTAAAAATACTCTAGTTCGGGGTTAAAGTTCGGAAACTACTAGACGACGATAATTAGGAAGTATACTAGATACCGCGAATCTAGATACATTCGAACAAAGGCCTACCGTTTACCCTTAAGCGATATTAACTTCCGCTTCGACCTTGTTTCGCAATAACGATAAACAAATCTTAGGATTAATCCCTAGTATATATCGGTATCGACCTTCGACGGCCCGCATTTAGCTACGGCTAACTCTTCGTAGTATTCTTACGCGTTACGGACGTATATAACCTCCGCGTACTTATTAACGGAAAGTATACTTTAACGTAGGGTAGCGACTCCCTAAATAAGGTATTTCGCTCGGCTCTATTATATCTGCCTAAGCGTCTCTATAACTTTATTTTTAAAGATAGAAATCTGTTTATAGGTATAACCTCAAACGTCCTATTACGTAGAGCGATATACGCTATATCTACTAGCTCTACCGGACTAGCGTAGCAACTACGACGCCCGTAGGGTATACTTAACTACGTGCCTCGAGCGTACGTTTCCGAAATCGCTAAACCGCCTACCGGTTCTACTCGAGACGCTATAGAACCTAAAGACGAGCCTAACTAGTATACTCGAAACTTTGCGGGTTTAGACCGCGAAGTAGGTAGCGATAGCAGCCTTCCGCGTAGAGTAGAAAGGGGTCCTAGGGTATTCGTACTAGGTAACGACGAAGATAGGACGTTAGTCGATACTAGAGTCGGACGATAGCTAAGCTAGCGAGAAACTACGCTAACTATAGTACTAGCGAAAACTTCGCGCCGACCGTTATTCGTAGAACTTCCTAGATACTAACTAGACGACTCCTTAGTCTACCTCTAGAACTTAGCCCTAGGTCCTAGTAACGCCTAATAGATAATATAAGTTATAGGCAAAATAATACCTTCGAAGGAGATTGCGCGGGTAGATCTAACTAAGGCCTCGTCGATACTACCTACGCTAGTATCTATACTAATACCTCGTTCCGCATCTACGGCGCGTATAATCTAACAGATTTCTAAGGATACTACGCCTATTCTAGGTCCTTCGTTCTCTAGGAAGCGACTACCCGGATAACCCGTATTACTCTCGAAGCCTATATCCCGTACTTAAGTCTCTACTCCGACCTCGATACTATACGCTCTAACGCTACTTTATACTCTAAGGCTAGGCGATATTGCTAAGGTAAAGGCTCCGGTTATCGTATATAAACAAGAAGCTAAGATCCTTAGTATACTTTAAGACGTAGATCTCGACTTCGATATAGAAGACTTTTAGGCTACGATTAGTAGTTATTCTCTATAATATATATATACAAAACTTCTCTATCCGTACTAGCATTTTTTTCTCTTTAGGTATAGAGTTTAGCTACCTAAATACAGTTAGCGTATTACTACTTCTCCGAGGCACTAAGAACCTTGTTATTTAGCCGCTTATCCCCTATCTATATAAGCTAAGTTCCCGGTAGTTCTCTTAATTATCCTCCTTTCTCTTCGGATTCTCTACTATATTCCTAGCGCTAATACAATGTCGAGCCTTAATATTATACCTAAAGTAGGAAAGGATTACGCGTAACAGTTCGTATAAGTAGTAGTAGAAGCATATTAAAAAGGTAAAATTTAGGAAACTAGAACTACGGACTACGCGCTAGCAAAGAAAATCGTAAGCGGTAAAGAGCGAGATCTAGTATTTCGAGAGGGCTATATACGTATACTAGGAGAAGGCGTAACGTAGAAGGGTACCGATAAGAGAGCGAGGCGAGCGGCGCTAGTCTATATCCTCGGTATAGACGCTAGAAGTTGCGCTATACTAAACTGTCCCTTTCCTTCGAAATATAGAACTTACGAATCTAACCGTAGTTATTTCGAAGGGTACCGTTATTCCTATAACCTAGCGCTAAAGCTACTATATAGTAATTGCGCTTATAGAGGAGATCCTAGGAGCTATACTAGCTATATAAACTATAACCGGAAGAGAGTAGCATTACTAGAATTCGAAGATAGCGGGCGGGCTTCGAAATCGAATACTCGACCTCTATCTATAGAGTACGAATAGGAAGAGGGCACCCTAGAATATTAAGAGACTATCTCTACTAAGGATACTAGCTACTAGGAGGAATACGACTTTACCTAGGAAGTATCTTAGAAAGCGGAAGAACTTAGGAGAAGTATAAGCGAAGTATAGCTCTAGCAACTCTTCGAGTTTCTAGCGGAATTGTTATATTCTAATTCTCCTACGTTTACGACGTAGCACATTCGAGATATATATTACGAGAGTGTTAGCGAGATTGTAAGCGGTTATATACGGAAAACAGATAGTAAGCAAGCTTATATAGAAGTCGTCGCGGCGGTAGAGCGGACTTAACTAGATTAGGTATACATTTCAAACCGACTATAATACGAATAGCAATAACGGCGGTAATATACTAAGAAACGTAAGATTAAATATTACTAGCTTCGCTAACTGACATTATAGGCCTAGTATATATCTATTATACGAGTAGACGAGATAAAAATAGGAAGGAGAAGATTATAAGTTACTTTATAGATTTCATTTTTTATAGAGGGCTAACTAACCTCTATAGAGTATATATATCGGTCTACGCCCTATAGTATAGATAGTATATCTTATCTTATTTCCTCTCGCCTTTTCTAACTTTTAACTTCTTAATTAGTATACTATTCTTAGATTATCGCGTTCTTCCGAGTAGCGGCGATATAGATTCCTATAGCAAATCGATTCCTAGGTCCTATTTAGACGAAAGGAGAGCTAGCTCTAAAGTTCTAAGTAAAATCGGATTCTAGGAGGGTAGTATACGATTAAGCGTTTATAGTAGAGGTGCCTAGTAACTACTAGTACTCGATAGTCTTAGCGCCCTTTTAGAGGACGACGGTATAGCTAAACGTAAGGTAGCGTACTACGCTACTAACGAAATATACGAAGACTTCGCCTATAACGAGCTTTAAGGGTTAGTATATCTAGTAATATATATTTATAAACGAGACTTACTAGAGTCGCGACCCTCTTAGAGCCGGTCTTCTTAGCTAGAACTCGCTTCGTAGAGCGAGGGGGAGACTCGTTAGAGAACGTACTAGCGAGATTAATAACTTCCTTACCCTTAAATACTTAAGCGACTAATACTATTAGCGACGCGGTTATAAAGGTTTAGCGACAATATTAAACTTACCGGTAGCGCTCGAGATCTTACTCGGGGTTTCTATAGGGCTAGTATAGGGGACAGGTATAGTATCTAGCTTAGTAAAGATAGAAAGGGAGTAGTAACGAGTCGTAGTAGTAGTAGTAGTAGTAGTAAGTAGTAGTAAGTAGAAGAAGTTGTTATTAGAAAGGCGCGCGATTTATAAAGCGCGATTTGTAACGATTTCCGCCTTGTTACCTAGCGCGGTACGGCCACAGCCGCCGTAGAATCTTCTAGAATCCAGCTTACCCTACCCCCCTCGTCGCCTCAGCCTTCACTTATAGCTCTTCGGCCTTCACTTATAGCACTTCGTCCTTCACTTGTAGCTCTTCGAGCCATATAAACACTAGTCAGTTGATATTGAAGGAAGAGTGCGCACCCTCGCAAGACTTAATTTGTCCGACAACTCACTGCTAATGTCAGCAAGGAAAATGAACACGATACTGCCACGATGTCACGCTTTTTAGGCAGAAGAGCGCAATATGGTATAGACAACCCTTTCATGAATGCTTGGGTCACATCGTTGACGTGGTACGAATAGATCTTCTCTGTCGGACAGGTAGGCTGATTGGCGACGTCTCCTCCCAATCCAGAGCGGAAGATGGGTATGATGCTTCCAGGGCGGTGGGCCGATCGACTTCATTCTTCGAACAAAGCTGTGCTTGATCACCTTCCAATGCTTGAGCGTTATCGTTGACGAAGATGCATGCGTTCTGGAGTAATTCGAATGTAGGAGAGAATGATGGGAAGAGAGAATTCCGCAGATGAAGCCAGGCCTTACAAATGATGATACATGAATGCTTTGATCTCGAGCTGAGATTTTCTAGGGTGGAGTGGCATAGAAGAACAGAACAAGTCCTTGAACGTACGTTGCTCGTGGAGGGCTTGGCTGGCAGGTGCAATGGCCGCTGTGGTCTCCATCAAGGTTCCTCTTCGCATTCTTCAACTTTGTCACTAACAAGATCTTTCAGCTCCTCCGACCCCCTCGCAATGTCTCTTTGTACTGCTTGTATGGAGAGTAGTCGCTTGACAGCAGCGGCTTTCTACGCATCCCGACGACAAGATTTGAATGGCGCGCGAGAAAGGCACTCAAAAGCTCTGCAGGAAGACATTTTCACCATATTTCGAGCTCGCAGGCATGCGTCTGACACGTGTATGCCCTTTTGCCATTACTTGCAGGATAAGACGTACGATCTCGCTACACGACAGGAAGCGCTTCGTGAGCAATGCCCTCAATGCTTGTTTTACCTCCCATTTAGACGCCGTCCAGCTTCGCAATTGTCAACGAATCACCATCCGTATCGGCCAAAAGCAAGCAAGCTGCACTGCGCGAATAGTCAAAGAGCAAATGCGACCATGGACGCTGTTAGAACGATTATTAGTAAGTAACACGGCATACTCAGCTCTTCCCCAGAGACAAGAAGTTACAACCTTTCTTTGTTGAGCGACCCCTGGATAATAAGAAGGAGAACTTTGTCATGTGGAATGCAGCCCATGCCGCATCCGGCCATAATGTCTTTGTTCTTTGCGAGGACAATCCCACCACCGAACTTTGACCACACGAGGTCGCGCTGCTTGAGATGGCTAGAGAGTTGTCGAGCTCGATATTACAGTGCCACAGTCATGGATCCCACTACCCGGTCTCGGTCTCAATCAAGAGATAGGTCTCGGGGTCCGGCCGGCGGCATACTCCAAGAGACACCGTTCACATACGACCCTAAAGAAGCTCGCAGTAGATCACGATCTCGACCGGCGAAGCGAAAATTATCAGCTCTTTCAAAGGCATGGCGTTTAGCTGCGCAGATTTTGAGTCTAGCAGTGCTCATATTCGCGGTATTAGCATACTGGAGCTACCAATATGTCCCACCAACACAGAAAGCAGATCCGACATGGGTTTTCAAGGCACCCATCGGCTTACCACATTACCAGGAAGTGGCAAATGCTAGTTCAGATGCTCTCAAGGAGTACCATCTCGGAAACGACATGAAGAACATCATGAAGAATCTGGACGAAATTGTCAACAGCACGGAAGCTTTCTCGAAAGGAGCATTGAGCAAAGTTCTGCCTGTGGAGTATGGATATCAATTTCACGTCAGTCACACGACCTCCTCAGACTAACCGCCATTGCAGTCAACACGACTTTTCCGTCTCCCTCTACCAAGGACAAGACTTACAAAAGCAAGCCAAAGCCCTCCAAACCCAAATCCACCAGTCAAAAGACATCCTCATGCACCAAGGCCTACTAAAAGGCATTCTCGACCTCTCAAAAATCAACAATACCCGCTGGGCCAACAAAAACATCCAAACCCGACGCGAAAACCTAACCCACTCCACCTCCCAAAATCTACACAACATGTCTCAACTCCTCACAAAAGCCCGTCACTACTCTCCCACCCGCGATCCCCTCCGAATCTGGAAAGAATACCTCACCTCACGCACCACAGCATCCAAAGAAATCTCTCACTCCGCCGAAACCCTCCTCCACCTCGCCATGCACTTCAGCATAACCTGGGACCAATACATCGCAACCCTCGCTTCCCACCGCGCCTGGGCAAACACAGTCTGTCGCAAACTCGAAACACGCCACATCCTAATCTTCTGGTCGCGACCGGCCTACTGTAGAATTTCCGACGGGACATGGTATAATTTTGAAAAAATCGATGAGAAAATTCTTTTATCGTTGGTGAGGTTGAAGGCTCCGTATATACGCGTTCAACTGGCGTATAAGAGTTTGGCGAGACATTTGGGGAATGTGGAGGAGACGATCGGGGATGTGAGGAGGTTGGAGGAGTTTGGGGAGTTGGCGGATCCTTTTACGATGGTAGAGGTTCCGGAGGATATTGAAGGGTTTTTGGCGGATCAGGCGGAGGTTGCGATGGGGTTAATTAAAAGGGTGGTTGAGGAGGAGAAGGGGTTTAATCGGGAGGGTTGGATGAGGAATTATGCGGGAGGGCCGCTAATGGGATAGGGGGGATAGGTTTATATTAGGGCTATTATTGTCCCTTGAGATCTTTTTGGTCCATCTGTTGCTTTTGCTGTATCGCTAGGGAGCATGTTCTCGCCTTCGACTTCATTCGGCAGCATCCATGCCGCTTTCGTTTCTTGTTCCGTTGTTCCGTCCATTGGTCTCTTGAGCACAACCTCTTCAGCACCACGACAATATGCAGCTCCAATGAAACGATGCTGACGCGTCCCTCCCTCAGTCATCTCATCTTCTTGCACAGGGCGGAGGATGCATGCTTTGTCCAGACCCCATAACATTGCAACCACATCTCCGACCTGCAGATCTTCAGTCCCGATACCGACATAACCCTGATCGGTGATGTACCATCGCCTTTCGCAATATTTTGGAAATGTCCATTCCATCCAATGGTTGTCTTGCGATCCAAGGCCCATCTCGAAGAAAGGCTTCAGCTTCTCCATTCGTACCTCGTTCTGCTCGTAAGTTTCGTGCGGCACAGCACACGTCTCTATCATGTCTACTGCATTCGCGGCGTAAGGAATGTTCGGAGAAGGCTTTGGAATTCCGTAAAGGTGTTGGGGTGCAACGAAGATTCGGTGCCAAGACGACAGCAATCACGCATGAGTCAGCAACGCGTTAAGATATTCTACCATCTGAACCCCTTATTACATGTAGCATCTTGCCCAGACTTCACGATCGTCATCACGAGATGAAAGACGGCGGCGACCACCTCGCTGTCCTAATCGACGCCGACAATGTCAGCGCCAAGCACATCGCGGGCCTGCTCGCCGAAGTGGCCAACTACGGCACTGCCAGCGTGAGACGCATCTATGGCGACTGGACAAGTCCGTACATGGCCAGCTGGCGAGCTTGTCTCCTGGAACACTCTCTCGCACCAATCCAGCAATTCGCCTACACCACTGGCAAGAACGCGACCGATGGCGCGATGATAATTGATGCCATGGACCTGCTCTACACCGGCCGATTCTCAAGCTTCTGCTTGGTCTCCAGCGACAGCGACTTCACTCGTTTGGCTTCTCGCATCCGGGAGCAGGGAATCTCGGTCTATGGCTTTGGCAACAGGCAAAACACGCACAGGGCGTTCATCGCGGCTTGCAATGAGTTCGTTTACCTGGATGCCTTGCCTCTTCAAGAGCAGGAGCAGAATCAACCTCCAGCCGCAGCTTCCCAGACACCGTCCAAACCTCCAGAGAGCGGCAGATCCAAACCGGCTCCCGCTGTATACACCGGACCTTCTCCTACCTCTCCCCAGCCACAGAGAACGCGCGAGCCGCCGAATGCCATCGCAATGCCACAAGGTCATAGTCTCGCTCTTCCGGTACGTACAGCGCCTATGCGTCGACCAATCGACCAAGCTGCGCTCGAAGGAATCAAGAACGCGATTAGCGGCAGCAGTGCCTACGAAGAAGACTACGCAAACCTGGCCGAGGTTGGCACCCGTTTAGTCAAGCTTTCACCAGATCTGACGCCTCGGAACTATGGATATGAACGGCTCCTGCCATTTGTGCAGGCTTCTGGAATCGTGGAAGTGAAGATGAAATTAAGAGATCCTGCTCCGGCTATTGCTTTGGTTCGTCTCAAGGACTAGGAGAGACGGCTAATGCCAGCCAATATGGACTTTCAGTTCCTAAGCTCCTGAACACATTGCGAAAGTCGATCTCCTCGTGCGCTCCGCCTCGCAGCAATCACCATACGCCGAGACCTGACCAATTGACATTTGACACTTTTCGGATCCTAGTATACATACTCACGCACTCTGGAAAAGCATCTATATACCCAGGATAAATTTTCGAAAGAAGCCTTGAAGCCCCCACAGCAGTTGCCTGAAGCTACAGGCTCGGTTACAAGCATCGTTGTTCTTAAGATTGCAGCAGCCAAGCCAGAAGTCGTAGCGCTTGTCAAGAGGTGACGACCACGAGGCTGCAACGAAGCTATCCTCGATCATTAGTTTGGCATTCGGTCTACTTCGACATCTGCCGAGAGGAACGCAAGGAGGCTTAGAAGCTACATGATGAAAACGCAGAAAGATTCGAGATCAGAGTTATCACCAAAACTGCGGCTCGTCATTAGGATTGCGGTTGAAGTCGCTTGGGAAAACTTGGAGAAGTCGCTCTGTGGTCATGGGGACCGAATAGTCGATGTCTTTCGGCGTATCACTCATGGTCAAAAGATCCAGGCCATGTGCAGCTAGGTGTAGATCGCGAACATGTGAGCCATGTGCGATCGCGGCTGGGCTTGCTCAGTCGAAGATGAAATCCGAAACAAAGATCTGTTCATCTTCATCATGAAGGTAATGCCAATATGTACGTCTATGCTCTATACCGACAATACATGTACGGCATCCGTATCGACGAAGCGATAATGCTACGCGCAGCGCAGACAACCGAGCATAAACGTGCGTGAATCGTAAAAACTAACTCATATTCCAATCCTCACTCAGCCCCGCATGTATTTAATGCACGAGCTGGTCATCCACCCTACTCTCCTTCTCAATAATAGCCGGCGGCTTGGGAATATTGCGACGGAAAATATGGCGTTTGATGAAGTACGGCAACCAAGTCGTGAGTTCGTAGCCGATGAACTTCTTCGTCGGGACAGAGAAGACTTGATCCAATTCCTCGAGGGTTAGTTGTTTAGTTTCTCTCACGAAGCAGAAAATCATGAACCACGCGATCAAGTTGAGACCGGCGTAGAAGCCGAAAGCACCGGTGGGTGTGAAGGCTTTCTGCATGCGTGGGAAGGTCAAACTGAGGATTCCGGCGAAGGTGTTGTTGATGCAGACGGCCCACGCCATGCCTTGTTCACGTTGGATGGTGGGGAATACCTCGGCGGAGTACTGGAATGCGACCGGACCTTCGCCCAGTGAGTAAGCGATGGTGAAGAGGTAGACGAATAGCACGACTGGACCGATCTGTGCGCCCTTGCTGCCTGTGTCTTTCAGGAGGGAAAGACCGGCGGCGAGCAGGAAGATGCACATGAAAGGGAAAGTCGCAAGGGTGAGCGTTCGTCGGCCCTTGGTGTCGATGAGGAATAGCGTAGGGATGGTAGACACGACCTGGATCGCACCGTAACCTAGAGATGCGTACAGAGCCTGGGTTGGAGTGTAACCGACGTTCTCGAAAATGGTTGAGCTGTAGAACGAGATGACTGCCGAATGTTAGCGATCTGAGATGTCGAAGTTAAAGTTTGTTTTTTGATACTGACTGTTAATGCCGCACATTTGCTGAGCAATCATGACAGTGGAAGCACCATAATTCGCGCGCCTAATGCGTGGAACGGCGAAGCAGTCCCACATACGCTGGAAGTAGCCTGCGCCAGCTGCAACTTTCAACTCCTCCTCGTAAATGACCCAGGAGTAGTAGTAGTCTCGCGCCGCAATGATGTCGTGAGCGCGGAGGATCTGCATGGATCGGAATCCCTTGTTGTGCTTATTATTCTTCATAAGCCATCTTGGTGATTCAGGGCAGAAGAAGATGCCAGCGCCGAGAACGAAAGATGGGATGAAAGCAGATCCGAGCTGGAGGCGCCACGAAATGCGGCCGGTATCCTTGACGATCACGTTGGCGCAGAAGCCCAAGAAAATACCTGCGACGACCCACAGCTGCCAGAACATGACAAGCGCACCTCGAATGCGAGCGGGTGCCATTTCAGCACTGTAGATCGGCACGGTGGCGTTCTTGGCTCCGATACCAATCCCCATCACAAATCGAGCAGCGAAGAGTCCTTGCCATGATTTCGCGAATCCAGATCCAATCGGCGTTGCTGTGAGACAGCAGGCAGTGATGAAAATTTCTCCACGTCGGCCGAAGTACTTGTTCAGTGGATCGACGATGAAAGCGCCAATGAGACCGGCGGTCAAGAAAATGATGGCATTGATCAAGCCCACAATCCACTCGTCGTAACTGGTACCGTTGTCGAGGTTGAATTCTTGAGGGAAGGAAAGATTGGCACCATTACTACCACTGTTGTCGATCGTCGAGTTTCGTCAGCAATTGTTTCAAAAGACGACAAGGGCGGATACGTACGTCTGGTCCCATCCTTGAGTAGCGGCGCCAATGGCGCACAAACCAATCGAGTACCACAACATCTTCGGGCCGTGCCACTTGTGGTCGCGTTCGTACACTAAAGCATCGCGCTCAGCGGTCTCCAGCTCCGGGATCGTTTCAAATCGATCGGGTTCGCGGGCAACGAGCGCGGCGCGTCCGAACAAGTCGGCGTGCTCAGGCATGCCGTGCCCCTCAGCAAATGCTCTACCATCAGCGATGGTCTGCTCATAGCCTTTGCGCTGTAGAGATCGGTTGCGATTAGGATCGTTCTCGACCGACTCGAGAGTCTTTATTGTAACTGATCACACTCACCTTCAACGGATTCTCAACGATATTGAGCGCGACAGATGCGCGACGACCGGATTCCTCAGCGACATTCTTGTAGCTGGGTGGTGCATCCTGAATGCCATTCTTTTCGTTGTGAGTCGTGTACTGGACGTCGTCGGAGATTTTCTCGGGCTGGTCTGAAGACATCGCGGCGGCTTGGTATCCTTAGCCCGGGCTTGAGCAATGCAAGAGGCGAAGTTGTGTCGTGGCAGCAAAGTCAAGCAAAGTCAAGTTGGCTTGGGTGATTCGGCTTAATATGCGAGCGCCGAGCTGGGGCCGCCCCACAGTCGGGGTTGTGGAGGGCGAACCAGAGGCCGTGCTTGGTTGCTGTGGTGGGTCTCATGGAATCTCTCGCAATTCTCAGATCCTTCGCGGCCGACATTTGCCTGCTTTCAGTTTCGTGTGCTCGTGGCGTTCATGCGATGATCCTAGCCAGACCCGCAACTAGATGAAGTATACAAGACCATTGGCGTTTGCGGGCCCGTAAAGGGTGGCCGACCCTGCATATGAATTCGTGAAGGAGCTGTTTTGATGGGAGAGACGATCGTGTGAGATTTGCTGAGGTCAGCGTTGCCCACGGGGATTGATCGTCAAGCTATACCTATGTAGAACAACGCGGAGAAGACTGGAGATAGCCTACCGTTTCTGCAGAAACACTCACCAATGTCTTATCTTGCGGTGTTGTCCATCCAGATTCCTCGACCCTTTCGGGCTTTCGAGTCCGGTGTGCGGCTGATGAAATACGGCTGTGGCGTGACTCAGCGTTACATTGAGTTTGCTTGGCAACAGGGGAGTGTGGCGATTGTGGTTGGACCCTTGTCACAAGCTCTTGCAAAGCTCACTTCGCTGTAATCACAAGCTGTGATAAGGGAGCAACAAGAAAGGACGAGCAACAAAGTCGCCTAATGCTTATCGATGCAGTGTTGATATCCAACCAGTGATGTGATTACGTTGTCGAATATGGCACCGGCCCAACCCCGGTCATATTTGTTGAATGGAAGTGCAGAATGGTCATTCCTGCCTGCCGGCTTTCGGCTTTCCCGTTGAGGCGTTCCTGTCGTGCACAGTGTGCACTCGACTCTTCAAGCATCATGGATCAAGCCTGATGATTGCTTCCGCAGTTTCGCGGGTCATTCTGCCAACTACATCAAGATCGAGAGGCCGCCATCGCGTCAACACAACTTCCTGTCGCCTAGAAAGCTTTCATGCCTGACGGTGAATTCGCGGTTAAAGGGCTTCTTAGCAAGACCTTGGCGTTGGTGGAGAAATCCTTGGCCAGTCTCAGGCAAACCACAATTTGCTGATCGATGACATGCTCTTGCACGGGAGTCTGATTATTCCCGAGCTGCCTGCCGACCGTCAACTTGTCAATTGCCTCACGACGCATTCATGAGCGCCAAAATCACGCCGGGTTCTGTTCTGCCACTTGCGGCCAATTGCCTGTGCCCATACGTATCCGCCATTGGTGATCGGAAACGCGCTCAGGCATCGGAGTGCACAAGACGGTTCACGATCGACTCACTCCGCGATCATTTTGCAGCAGCAGAGAACTGGCAGTATTGATTATCAACGCGCGTTCGGCACCGTCGTATTCGTACCTGTGGTCTAGGGCTGGATCAGGGCTCAGCAGTAAACACTCCTTCATCGTCGGCCCAAGTCGATGTCAAGTACTCGCTGTAGATTGTGTACTTCGCTGTTGCCTCCATCCAGTCCAAAGAACGGCTTTACGGCAACTGATACAACACCTTTGATTAGGCCCTTGACTAGATCCTGGAGCTTACTTCCTGTCTGCGCGAAGTCGGGAAAGGCGTTGATTTCAAGTAGCCACGCAGTTCCTTGCGCATCAACCATGAAGTCGAGCCCGAACACCTCAAAAGCGTTCGGTAGAGGCTGGAAATGAATACTCATGCTCCGAGCAGCAGCTTCGAATACTTCACCTGTGACCGAGCAGATTTGCTTAAAGACATCCTCTTGCCAATGTTCGGAGACTTTGTCATTGACTTTTGACGGCAGAGACCAGAATTCATGTACACTTCCCTCTCTTTCACCAGACTGCAGGCAAGTATTGGTCAAATGGCTCGAAAGATCTTCATTCGGTAGTGTTGATGCTGATGGGCCTAGGTAAGGTTTGCCCGCGAATAGTGCCAACATTGGCCGGTAGACATACACCTGCAGTGCACCGACTGCCAACACATATGTTCTGATGTGGAATTTGCGACCCGAAGAGGGATGCGAAGTAGGCATTAGAAGAGGAGGATGAATGTACGGCTGGGCGATGAAGTGGCGAAGTTGAGAAGCGATGACCCCATGGTTGTCACTCTCCTCTTTGCCATCGTTGGAGCTCTTGTGAGAGATGTGGTTGTCTTCGTCGTCATCATCAGATGGAGGATCCCAGTCTTCGAAAATACCGGTCAGCTCTTCTTCGGAGCTGAAGAGGCGTATGCCTTGACCACGATCGCTCATGCCTGGCTTCAAGATCCACCATTCTCGATCGTCTGAGCCTTGGTCAAGAGCTTCATTCCGTTGCCAGCTCTCCTTGAGCTCGTAGGCTTCGATCAGAGCATCGTCCAGGAATTCAGCAAAATCGACTTCGAATTCGACACTTGGTTGTACGTGGCGCTTCAGCACGCTGCTCGGATGTTTGGTCAGCCAATGCGAGACCGTGCTGGAAAGGTAATGTTTGCGAATGAGAGCTTTTCGAATGACATAGCTGTTGGCCAGACTTGTTGTAGACCTGTGCATCAGACCTTCCAAGTCAATATCCTCATATTGCCGCCATTGCAGAAAGTTGCTCGAAGGAGACGGCAGCTCGGAGATGTTGCTGATGAGGACGAGCAGATCGGGAGGGATTTGAGACTCGATGGCCGCCAATAGTAATGGTTGCACGTAATTGTCTCCATAGTCAATGAGCGCAAACAGCTTCGGGGAGGTGGCCATCCCTAGTCAAGCGTCGAGCGCTTCGTCGGAGTGCAATCAGGAGCAGTTGGCCGGATCGACTTGTGAAATCCGCAATCGTCAGAAGCACAGCTTCAGTAGCCGGTCGCCCTCGCCCTCGCCCTCGCCCTCGCCTTCGCCTTCGCCCTCCTGTGAGATTGCCTGCCTGCTGATAGGGGCCAAACTTAACTGCTGTCAGTCCAGTCCGAATGCAGCTTGTTTTCGCTCGTGAAAATTTGACTTCAAGGTTCTGCTGGTTGCTCGGGATGGGGATTGGGGAAGCCGCAACCCGATCCCGGGAAGCCAGAGATCTCCCCAACTTCCTCCTCTTCTGTCTCCTGAGACTGACGTCTCAACCAGACCACGTCTTGAGCTACGAGGCCCATTTCCTGCTTGTGGTCATGCAACGGCCGCGAATACTCACTCACACGCAATGCTCGAGGCGCCACGACCCACCCGGAAGCACGACTGGTCCACCAGCAGAAGGATGACACTTCGAAGACTTTCTGTCCCCAAAAAGCTGGGGATTTGCAGCAAAGACATGGACACAGGGCTCAGGTCGATGATGAGAGCAGTGGCGCGCAAGGACAGCTCAGTTTGCATCCGGCAGTGATTTTCGGACGTCTGAGATGGGCCGTACGACTTTTGCATTATCAATACAACAACAATCAGCTCCGGCTGCATATGGTGTTCGATAATTGCTACATCTTAGCGGTTGCTTGAATCCTCTGCGAACTACACGTTGAGACAATTGCGACTGTACCTTGGCTCAGTCTTCCTTTGATGCCTTATTTGGGCTTGATACAATCTCTGAACTGTCCCTCATGCTGTGCAAATGCAGATCTCATTTGCCAAGAAGTTTATCAACTTCGCCATCGTGAATATTCAGCGCAGGAGAGGCCACAGGACCCCACTCATTTTCCAGTAGACTGGTGCCTCATCGGCCAGCTTCCTGGACGAGCCAAACCGGGACGCTGCATCCGGACGCCAATTGCATGTGCTCTCCGGCCGTCTGATCTGCAGCTATCGTCTTCTCATCTGAGCTCCCAGCAGGTCAGGTGAAACTCCCCATTTCACTTGCGCTATCCGGAGGACAGCTTGGTCGAAACTAACAATACTCGCCGATCATAGACTTTGACGAAGGATTGGCAGGAGGCGTAGGTGAGCCTTTGGACACCGTACTGCTTTTGCTGCTCCGGAGAGGCTCGAAACATGAGAGCCAGGAAGGTATAAGTACACCCATCTCACCCTGCTTCTATCTCTCATCCTCATCCTCATCACCATCAGCATCAGCATCAATCAAGCAAAACCAACTATCTACAGTCGCTACCATCAATCTCTGCTTTTAATCCTCCAAACCCAAACAACCAACCATCAAAATGCAGTACTCCGTCATCATCATTGCTTTCGCCGCCGCGGCTGTCTCCGCCATGCCAAAGGGCCTCATGGCTGGCTCTCAGGGCAGCTGCAATGTCAACAGCGTTGTCTCCTGCTGTGACACCACCCAGGCCATCACTGGCAGCACCATCCTTGGTGGCAGCTGTGCCGTCAACGTCCCAGCTCTTGGCAACAATTGCGAGACTGGCTCAGCATACTGCTGCGAAGCTACCCAGGTCGTAAGTCAACTCAATCATTTTCACACAAAGCACAATCAGCATTGCTAACACGGTCAGGGCCTCCTCAACGTCAACGCTGGCTGCACCCCAATTGATGTCCTATAAATGGATCCCGAATAAGCGACGGCCGATTCTACGAGCTACCTGCCACCAACAGCGCGCGTTTCCCAGGACGCCTGGACCGGGGATGAAGCAGTGGAACGAGATGATAGAGGAAGGGGTTGTAATTGGATTCATGTATCAGGTCTTGCGGGCCTTGGAGCGACATTCTTTTAGTACGATATAATCAACTCCTGTATTCGGAGCATCACTGTCTTCTCTCTTTCTCCTCCCCACATTCCCAATTTCACAGCTTCGCATTCGATGCGGGCCTCTGCACTTTCTAGGAGCGGGTATGAAGTGCCACCAATACACTGCTTTGCTCAGCGGCTAGAACGGTAAGAACGACTTCCAAGCAATGCAACATGCTGTATCACGCCCTACTGGTAGCACTATCATTGTTGGGAAACGAACGAATACTAATTGGTGTATGCTAGCTCCTGCCCTACGGACTCTAGCTCTCGCTTGGCGCGCGAAACACCATTGTGCCAAGGCCGATTCCGCGTCACCTCTTGTGCATCTGCAAAGATATATATGGGCAAGCACCCTCGACTCTGCTCTACAGTAGATTACAGTACATTTTTCGAGCTCAGGGCGGCAGAGCCGTGGCTTGTCCACATCAAGCATGCTTGCAGTGTCGAAAATTTGGAGATACCCAGCTCGTTAGATTTCCTCATACGAATTCCTGCATTCACTCGACCAATGCTGATGAGTGGCATGTGCAAGGGACAGCCACCTTCAGCTGCCACCAAGCTGTAGTTTGATTCGAGCTTGTTTGTCGCGCAGGCCACAGTGCACGCCGCGGCGCGTTCGATGCACGCGAAGATCTTGGCGGCGACAACGCATGCACCAGTGGATCTCTCGTGCGATTTTTACAGACACAGACCTCACATGAACAAGGAAAGCGAGCAGGGGTTGCTGTGAAGCCGTTGCGTGCCCCGCGATTGCTACTATAAACTTGCAGTCACCACATTTCATGAACAAACCTCCACCTTCCCCCAAACTCCTCCCACCCACCCCTCCAAGCTCACAACCCCATCATCTTCCTGTGAACGGCCATCATGTCGTTCTTCAAGAAGCTCACCGACGAGTTCAAGGAGCTCAAAGCCAACTTCGAAGACAAGCCGAAGGAGGAGAAGAACAAGGAGGAAAAGAAGACCGACTCCAAGCCTGCCGATGGCACACAGGAAGGCGCCACTCGTGAAGGTGGTTACGGTGGACCTGGCTATGCCGACCAGTCGCAGCATCCCGGCTACCAGCAGCCATCGTATGGTCAGCCACCACAGCAGTACGGATCATATCCTGCTCCTCCACCGCAGCACTCAGCTCCGCCAGGCCAGCCGCCTCTTCCTCCGGGATGGATGGCACAGTTCGACCAGAACAGCCAGAAGTGGTACTACGTAGAGCAAGCCACTGGTCGCACTCAGTGGGAGCCACCTGCTCACCAGTACCAGCAAGGCGGCTACGGTGCTCCCCCGCCTCCGCAAGGCAGCTATCAGTCTGGTCCACCTCCCGGCGGCTACTCTGGCGAGCGCGGTCATGGCGAGGCTGGTGGCTTCTACAACCAGTACGGCGGTGCCATGCCTGCCCAAGGCCAAAGCGATTACCAGCACCAGCAGAATGCCCAGCAATACTACGGCGATGCTGAGAATGCCGAGAAGAAGGGAGAGAAGAAAGACAAGGACAAGGACAAGGACAAGAAGAAGGACAAGGACAATGGCACTCGTAACATGCTTCTTGCCGGCGCCGGTGGTCTTGCCGTCGGAGGTATCGCAGGTGCCATGATTGCTCGTAAGTCTTCCGCTATTGCTAAGACATCAATCAGAAACTGACTCGCGGTAGATGACAGCGATAGCGACGACGAGTACCGCTCCACTGCTCCAGCCCCATCATACGCCGCTGCCCCAGCGACCGCTGCCATGGCTCCGGCTGCTGCAGCTCCTTACGCAAGCGACCCATACGCAAGCGATCCATACGCTGCGTCTTCGGCTGGTTACGGCGCACCTTACGGCGATCCAGCCATGGCTCCGCCACCTGCTCACGACAGCGATGCCGATTCCCTTCGCGAAGCCCAGCAAAATTACAACGAGGCCGTCAAGGCTGCTGCTGATTCGGATGCCAGCAGTTCGGAACTCGAGGAGCTGCAGGAGGTAAGACTGACTCCAAAAGTTGCACGTGGGGAATCTCACTGACCTTATCGTTCCAGGCTCGCGAAGAATTGGAAGAGGCGCGCGAGGACTATTACGAGGACTAACCCGAGCTCGTTTGATGGAAGCACGCTCAATGACGAGAATCCCTTCCATCCAACGGCTTGTCGGAGTAGAACTGTAGCTCGACCTTGCTCAGTGTCTCCACTTCTCCACGGCATCATTCTTGCATGATGACGATTAAGCGATAGCGAGAACTCAGCACATTGCTGAGATCCACAATACCAAGTCCAAATCAATGATGACAGCAAGTGAGCGTTTGCTGCATGATGAACTGAAGTCTTTCATTTATAATTTTTCTCCCACGTGTCAAGACATGGGAACCTTGTCAGCCTTATGAACCGAAAACTGTAATCTTATGCCTTGCAGACCGGCCTTTCCCTTCGCCACAGATCGACTCGGATCTAGAACCTCTTCCGTCAGCAGCAACCACTAAGCCACCGACAATTTCTTAGCCTCAATGCTATCTTGACCAATCCTGACCGCTTTTCTTCAGGGCGATCTATATCTTTCTCTCATTGCGACGACCGGTGGTGAAAGTGTTTGGGATTCTTACTGTACGTACCAAGAGGGCTCGGCTCATACCCGTTAGATGTCAAGTTTTATGCTCGATGTCCGATGCCATTGACATTGAAGGTTCCATGCAGGGATGGATGATCGAGAATACTTTTTCTTCACAGCCGATTGCTTTCAAGTTCCTCACCGCAGCCGGAATCTGATGAGTCCTCTCGAAAGTACGTATGCTGTGAGCACGAGGAAGAACAAATACGTCGTCGAGAGGTTCAAGAGAGCGGGCGTGTAGTCTTTGCGGTAGCTTTCAAGCGTGATGCGGTGCACACGTGTGCAGGTGGGTTTTGATTTTAGAATACCGTTGATTGCGGAGACGCAGATTTCGAGATTGCTGATATTTATTTGGTTAGCAGTTGCTTCTCAAGCAATTCGCATGAATGAATGCGTACGTTGTTGTGTTCGATGGGACTGCGAGGATGTACTCCGTGTCTAAGACAGGTGGGCTTTTGTTCTCCCCGACTTCAACTAAATATGCTGCCGCTTCGCTGCTGTTGGACCATTTCAGAGAAAGAGCTGTGGAGTTCAATCGCCGGGCGGAAATTTGAGCTGGAGCTGATGGCCGTTTACTGCTTCCTGGCTTGACGGGCTGGGCGTCTGTGTAGACTCCTCCGTAGCCTTCGCCCGTCCAGGAACTCATCTGCACTAAGAGCACGTCGCCTACTATGCTGAATTCGCCGGACGGCATGCCTTCCTGCTTCGCTGACAGCTGGCGCGAGCCGACTTCGAGAATCAGGCCTTTGTTCATGTTCTGCTGATGTGTGAGTTGCTGGAGATAGATACAGACCTTCGATAGAGATGACCTACTGTATACTTTATGGCATAGGAAGTAATGTTCCAGTGAGTTTCCGGTGGCGACCAGGTTACGCGAAAGCCAAGTTTGGTCGGAGTAGTTTGGATATTTATGGGTGGTGGAGGCGTATCGCTATCCGATATTGCAGTGACAACGTCCTGGGTCCAGTCGCCGCAGCTATTGCCATAGCAAGACTTGACTTGATACTCGCATTGGATGCCGGCTTCTGGCAAAATTGTATCCCATCTATTTGTGCGAGCAAAGGCCACGCTCCAGTCCTTCTCGCTTTGGCAACGCTGCCTGATTTTGCCTTCTGTCAGCCCGAAATGTCTATCCCAGGTGACTTTGATGCCCATGGGCGAACTTGTGGCGACCAGATTAGTAGGCGCGGGAAGCTCGCGCTCGGGTACTGAATCAGGCACTTGGATGGGAGTTTCGCCGAGCGAGAAGTGTTCAATAAGGGTCTTTGAGAAAGCACGAGCGATCTGATACGCGCCCAACTCATTAGGGTGAAGTCCATCGAATGCTGCGGTGCATGAATCGAGCCCGCATGTATACTCGGATGCCACGTCAACATAGTGCACAGGAGACTCATGCGAGGTCCAGCTAGTATTCGCAGTCAGCGTCGAGGTTTTGAACTTTCTATAGCACTATATGTACCGTTTACACGCTCTGGAAAGCATGTTATTCACTTCGAAGATGTTGTTTGCAAGACCAAGACGCACAAAAGTTCGACCTGGTACCTAAAGATTTGTAGTCAGCTTTTATTGACATTACAGAGATCGGGATATGCTCGACTCACATTACCATAGGCGATCTTGATGTTTGGCTTTGCTTTCCGAGCATTATGGAGAAGTAGTTCGTAGTACCCTAGAAGCTCTGGGTTGCACTATCAGCATCATGCCGTCCACGTGTTTGAGGCCTTCCTTCTCGGCCCACCCATACCATCAGGAGAAAGTCCTCCCCAGGATAGATCGTTCGTGCCCAGTAAGATCAGGAGCATGTCTGGATCATATTCTTCAACTCGACTTTGAATAAGCTTGTGGACTCTGTCGGCCCGATCTCCAGAAGTCGCAAAGTGATCGGCATCGAAGTCGAGAGGGACAGCCTTGTGATATCCCCAGGTAACTCGCGGATACGAGTCAACGTCGACTTTTTGGTCTCCATCCTCGATTGCGCGTGGAGGCTGTGGTGGTTTGGATTCCAGTGGAGCTATAGTCCCAGTGTATGGACCGACAAAGTCGAATGAGATGCCGTTTGCTCTGAGCCACTCCCACATGCGGAATCTCCAGGTATAGTCGCCTTCGTGTCCGTGAGTAATGGAGTCACCCACAAACATGATCTTGAGGGGTCCCTCTCGTACCCGCAGCGCTTGACTGGCCGGAGGAGTAGCATAACCGTGCTGCACCAGTGCTGCTACCGCCATGACAGCCAGTCTCGATGTCGCACCCAACCAAACCATTTTAATAGAATGTCCTTGTTCATTGTCTCGCCATTGCCACAGACTCTGAACACCAAATCCCGCAGCATATCGGCCAAGGACGCGTTGCAGCTTGACGACGGCTGGCTGAAATGATAAGGTTTGGTCGATACCGCGGTAGGCGTCTTCGAGCCGTCAGGACGGCCGGGGGCGATGCCATTCTGCACGCGGCACAGCTGAGAAGGCAGTCTATGCCGGGTTTTCATGTTGTGCTGCTGAATGATGGAAGTTCAAGGGTCTGAGCAGCTAGGAGAGAGGGGGAAAAGATGAGTGAATGGTATTGGCATGACAGACGGTCGTGCCTATCTGGAACTTGCCTACGCGGTCTTAACATGTGCGCCGTGGAACAATATCTGCATACGTGAAGAGAGCGTTTTATTGCATTGGAAGCATGTATAAGAAAAATTGCAGGACACCAGTGTTGCAGGAAGGATGTAGGTCGAAGAAAGTTCGCCGGGAAGACGTCGTACTTGTACATCCCGGATCCATCCTGGTATGCATAGAAGACATCATGCTAAACATTCACTAAAATATAATTCAGTGGTCTGTCTTGTATAGCTCGTAGTCTCGTAAAGCGATAGAGTGCAGACAAGTCTGTTGGACATAATCGGATCCATTTCTTTGCGCCACCGCAATCGCATCTTGCGATCACGGATCTCGCTGTATAATATACAGCATTTCCCACAAGCTCGAGCATCGACAAAAGAGCGCCATCTATGTCTTTTCACACTTCTCTGATTACACATGTACATCTTTGTATGATGCTGAAGCAGAACCATACGCCCAAACGCCTTCGCTAAAAGCCCGATCACAAATGAAGCAGCTATCGGACCGTGGAGACAGCATCGCAAATACAGCTGTGACTTGATTGATGCTCATTCATCATCCACAAAACTGCTCGCTAGCCTGCCAAATATCGGCACTTCCACCCTGTCCAGCGATTCAGCATATCTCCAAGCTCCATATGCCAAATAGCCGATTGTTAGGAGATCGCACGCGAATAGCATCCAGCTGATGATCGCGCTCCAGGAGAAGATGATATGAACCAGGAATATCGCCGAGAAAAGTAACGCGCTTTGCCATGCGTGGAATCGCACGTAATCGCTCTTGTGTTCGAAGAGCAATAACACCACACCTCCCGCAGGCGGCAGCAATAGATACGCCAAAGCAGCTTCCACGCCCAGATTCAGTCCAAGACTTGTCTCGAATATGCTCACGCCTCCATGTCCGCCATATGTCGTTTGTCCACCGCCTTCGAGAGCTTGATTCCCAATGTAATCGTTGTAGAACCCTCTGCTCTCGTTCTGCCCTTCTAGGTCTTCGTACTCTTCGTCGGCATATCGATCGTATTGTGAAGGAGAGGGGAGTCTTTGATTACGCGCAGCTGCCCAGGGATCGTCGCGATCAGCTACACTGGAGATCTTTCGCTGTGGTGGTTGGCGTGCCTGTGGTTTCGGGGAGCCTGGTGGACTGCGGACAGGTGGAGGTGACTTTGCTCTCTCGGACTCTGGAGGAGAGGATTGGTAAGGCGCGAAGTTCATGGCCATTGTCGCGGGATTAAGGAGGCGTTGGTAACGGTATTAGCAGGTTATGATGATCTCGGCGACTTTTTTCGTTTTGATGATTGATTGGGGAGTCGCGACTACCGAGTTTACCTGGCTGCGCGATGCGCATGTGTCAGGGTCACCCGGCACAATTCCGTATCTCAGGCGCAGGGCTGATCTCTTGGCCGCGGTCTCACGTTCCTCATCATTGCTCGGCGGTCAATAACCATCAATGGTATACCGTGACCAGCCCATCCTGCTGTAGCCAGGAGTATTCTGCAGCACTGGAAGCCTCACAGAACCATCGTTGGGAGGATCGTTGGGACGATTGTATGGCTCGTCAATTCTGCCCTCTAACACGGCTTGTGCGATTGACTGAATGATATCATCAGGGAGATGACGATTTGAAATATAGAAGGCCCGCCGGCAGAGCACATTGAGACTAAAGTATTGCTAATGGCAGAGAAATGTCCACAAGAATTCATCGCTATCTCCTAAGACCGTCATTCGCCTCAACATATAAGGGCTTCACGCCTGCCTCGACACCTCCAAATCAGACCACACCTTTCCAAAACAGATCTCACTTCCACACAACCAAATCAGCAGACATGAGGGTTCTTCTTACGGGAGGCAGCGGCTTTATCGCCGCACATGTGCTTGATTACCTCCTCGAACATGGCCACTCCGTGGTAACGACCGTACGCAGCCAAGAAAAAGCCGACCGAATCGCCAAAGCGCACCCGCAGCATCAGAAAGACAAGCTTGATTTCGCACTTGTCGAAGACATTGCTAAAGAAGGTGCTTTTGACAAGGCAGTAGTGAGCGACCCTCCATTTGAGGCCGTCATTCACACTGCTTCGCCATTCCACTTCAATGTCACCGACGTCCAAAAAGAGCTTCTCGATCCCGCATACATCGGAACCACCGGCATCTTGAAGAGTATCAAGAAGAACGCACCCACGGTGAAGAAGGTGGTCATTACAAGCAGTTTCGCATCAATTATCGATCCAGGCAAGGGCAATGGTGTCGGACACACGTATTCAGAGAAGGATTGGAACCCAATCACGCACAAGGAAGCTCTTGAGACCCCATCTGCTGGATACCGTGCCTCAAAAGTCTTCGCTGAGAAGGCGGCATGGGAATTTGTTGAAAAGGAAAAGCCAAGCTTCACACTCTCGACAATGTGCCCTCCGCTCGTCCTTGGCCCGATCGTGCACTACTTGAACTCCCTCGATGCGCTCAACACTTCCAACCAGCGAGTTCGAGACGCCATGCTCGGCAAGCACAAGGATGAAATCCCTCCCACCGGCACATTCATCTGGGTCGATGTCCGAGACCTTGCATTGTGCCACGTGCTCGCGATTGAGAAGGAGGAGGCTGCGAACAAGCGGTTCTTCATCACCGCGGGATACTTCACAAACAGACAGATTTCTGAAGCCATTGCAAAGTCTTTCCCAGAGCTCAAGGACAAGCTGCCAACAGAGAAGACTAAGGGAGGTGACTTCCCTGAGGAGGGTCTTTACAAGATCGATAATTCTCGTGTGACATCGACGCTCGGAATCAAGTTCCGATCATTCGACGAGAGCATTAGGGACACTGTCAAGAGCTTGCAGGCTGTCGGAGCATGAATCAATCATAGAGACCGTTGCGTCTGATAGATGGGCCACGATATGAGATAACATAAATGCTCAACATTCCATGCTACTTTTCATCTGCAATTTCGTACTGAGGCTACGGTTGCCTAGCAATTGCTCGCCTCATTGGCCTTCGATCTTGCTCTGAACTACTTCCCTGTACTCTCTGTCCCGGCGGTCTTTGAGACATTGGACGTGTACCATAGCACACTAACGGATGTCCTCGATGCTTGGTAATTTGCTTGTTTCCTACGACTGGTCACGTGAAATGTGCCAAGTCCGATGGTGCTACCCTCATTTTAGAATTTGTATATCATCCTGTGATTGTGTGAAGCTCTGCGATCACCAGTGCTCTTAGAATGGTTCTGTTCCAGGAGCAACGAAAACTGTTGAAGGAAGCCACGAAATTGACTTTTTTCGGATTTCGGCAAGGTGGACGGCGTCATTCACGTTGTCCCGCTCCTGTTGACAGTCTCTCCTCTTCCTTTGGCACAACAACAACTCTTACCTCCCAAATATCGAACCAAATATCACGAACTGCAATAATCACTGCCGAATCAAATTGAAATTGCTCTCAAACTACACGTAGGAATGCTACCCTCAAACGATAAGGTAACTTCGAACGTCTCCCTCGACTCGCCTAGCCTCCTTTAACCGGGCCCGTGCAGCAATGATTTCGCGTCCTGCTATCTCGGACGACAGCCCGTGTGGTCGGACATACCCATTTGTACCCACTGGCGGCTGAAGAAACGAGAGGCCGCGTAGGTGGGCAGGAATAGGTGGGACACCTCTTATACTTCACTTCATTCTCTCCTGCCAAGCATGCCAGCACGCTTTACCTCCCGTACTGCTGGCCTATAGCATGCGCCAGCGATGCTTGTCTTGACCTCTCTACTACTACTGTGGCCTGCGCTTCATTGCTCTGCTTTGTCAAAGAAAGATGCCCGGGTGAGAACGAAACTAACCAAGCAGCTTCCTCCCGGAGAAGTCTTCATTCAAGATGCGGACTACAATGCTGGTAGATACGGGTACTACGTTAGCCAGACCTTCAAGTCGACGAATGTCACTGCTCCTCGGGTGAACATGCTGAAGCCCTTCACGAACTGTGATGATGGCAGCTTTCTTTTCGTCACTCCAAGAGGAGTGGCAACCGAGACTCCAACCGCGGCCATTCTGGATGCATCGTAAGTGATGGTCAACGCACCTTGCAATGCATAGCTGATTGTCTGCAGAGGAAGTCTAATATGGACACCCAACGCCTACTTCGGACAGATCTACAACTTTCAAGTCCAGGACTACAAAGGCGAATCATACCTAACGTTCTGGGGAGGCAATGATAGCGTTGGTGGCCATGGTTCAGGCCATTACTACATGGTGAGCAGACTTCAAATACACTCTTTGGTTCGACTGACAGAGCGTCTAGTACGATCAGAACTACCGGCTCGTTCGCAAGATATCGGCGGCCAATGGCCTCGGAGCGGACCTCCATGCCTTCACGATATTGGAAAACGGCAACGTCCTGTGCACTGTCTATGAAAAGACTCCAGTGGATCCGCAAGTCATTTTCAACCACAAAGCCATCGCTTCGACCTTCATGTGGGATTCGCTCTTTCAGGAGTTCTCTCTTGAGACTGGAGGATTGGTCTTTCAATGGCGAGCCTCCGAATTTCTGTCCCTAGATCTCTCATACGCAGACAAGCGACCTGCGACATCCAAAGAGCCCTGGGACTGGTCCCACATCAACATGGTCGAGAAAGACGCAGCTGGCAACTACCTGGTATCTTTGCGCCATCTTCGCTGCATCGTGTACGTTTCGGGCTCGACCGGTGAAGTGCTTTGGAGGCTTGGTGGCAAGGACAGTTCTTTCACGGACTTGTCTGGCGGCGAGGCTTCTCTGATGGTTGGTCAGCACGATGCTCACTGGGACGAAGGCCACCGCTTCATCACATTCTTCGACAACAGGGCGGACTGGGCTTTCGAGCTGGAGCATGTCTCTAAAGGACGTAGACTCGAGGTGGATCTCAAAGAAATGACAGTGAAGGTCAATGCGACGTACGTCCATCCGCGGAAAATCTTTGCCTTCTCACAAGGCTCCTACCAGACTTTGCCAAACGGGAATGTTCTGATCGGCTACGGCTACTCAGCTGCCGTGACCGAGTATGCACCTAATGGCACAGTCCTCTGCGATGCTTATCTCCAGCCCTCCAGCCGATTCTCTTCGGGAGATGTCCAAAGCTATCGCAATCTCAAGTTCAACTGGACCGGAACACCATTGACACCGCCTGACGTCTTTCTGGAGGGCAAGAGCTTATTTGTCTCTTGGCTTGGTTCGACGCAAGTCCGGAGCTGGGCACTTCAAGATTCTTCCTTCAAGGACGGTAGATTTAGGCCTGTGCTTCATGCGGAGAAGACGGGCTTCGAGACGCAGATCAAGCTGCCTTCACATTTGCCATTGCGACAATATTTGCGGATCATGGCATTAGACAAGCACGATCAGGAATTGGCGGCTTCAAGCGTCATCGATTTTGGTGTGAACGCAACCAGATTGCCTACAGAAGAAGAGATAGCTGCGCATGAAGCCGGCACTGACCTCCTTGAGGCAGATGAAAACTACAGAATCGAAGAATCATCATCAGAGTCAGAGCATGGAATCGACGATCTTGAGGCATTGCTGGGCTTCGCATTCTTCGTGATAGTCGGCGCTGCGGTCATACTTTGGGTATACCGTACCAGAGGATTCATGGGCTGGTGGTCCAATGCATCGACATAT